AAGTAAGAAAATATTGTACCCGACCCTCTTCCTGACCGTATTTTTTAAAAGTAGTACATGCTCATCGTAGCGTCATTGGGCCATAAACGTGTAACAACACAGCATCGCAAGAAGACGTAGCCTACATCATCTTTCATTATTTCGGTAAATGTCTCCCACACTTACTCTTTCTATTTGTGTATTTGCGGAGCTTCCACTCCCCAGTCTTCACCTTTTCTCTTGCCGCCTCCATCTCTCTGCAGACTAGTGATCATAGACATGGCCGGTTCGTGAACGAATCGGTTCTTTTTAATGAACCGGTCGAACCAGTACGCTAAATCGAACTGAATCATTCGCATCAGTTCACGTCTTGCGTCAGTGCTGATCCACAAGTTACTACAGTTACTCACTTTCAGACATGCCTGACAGTCCCTCCGAGTTGAAATAAACCAATATCCCGAATTATATTTTACTCCAGTAACTAACAGTTCACTGAACTGAGACATGTTGTTGATACTGCTGATACTGCGCATCCGCGTATAGTAACGAACGCAGAGGTACAGCAGTTCTCGGATCACACCAGTACAGAACTGAGAACTGTTAGACTGAGCTTGTGTGTCATCTTCGTGCCAGTTATTCAGCCAATAAATAAATTCGGCCTATATATTTCATAGAAAATTCTATCTAGTACTATATAAATACAAAGGTTTAATTGGCATTTTTTTCCAAACGACCTGACCGACCGCGACCCGAATATCATTAAAAATATTTTTGGATGACCCGTAACTGCGGGTACCCAGGCACCCGCTCATTTTGGATCAACCCGTGCATCACTGGTGTGGAACAATTTCAAAGTGAATGGCTTTGGATTAGGAGAATAAGTTTACTTGTAGTCGCCAAGTTACTTATAGTCAGTTGAATGTCTGTTGGGGGACCAAATAAAAAAGTGTTATCAGATATTAAGCTGATCGTACTAATACTCTAGTCTACTAATACTCTAATGACAGTTAGTTGACATGTAATTGAAAAGTTACTTATAGTTAGTAAAGTGGACTATCGAAATAAAGTGTTACCCAAGTAATTTAATCAAGGACCTAAAAACCCGTATATAAAAATATTTAAATCATGTTTTTTTTGTTTTTTTATTAAGTACTCGGTATCGGTATCGGCGAGTACTGAAATGCAAGTACTCGTACTCGTACTCGTTTTCCAAAAAAGTGGTATCGGTGCATCCCTAATTTCTTTTCGACTGAAGAAAGAAAGACATGGACATCTTAGATGACATGGGGGTGAGTAAATTATCAGCAAAAGTTTTTTTGTTTTTGTTTGTTTGTTTTTTTAACTACTCCTTTAATAAATAAATACATACTTTAAGAAATAAATACATAGATAATACATATCTGCTCGCCAGCCACTGTGGCTAGTGGTTTTCCAAATTTACTTGCCACTTTTTTTCACAATCGATACCATGGGGAAAAAAACTGCCATATTTTTAATATTATCTCATAATTTGGCAGCAGGAATATCAGGCTACTGTCACTTTAAGACCTGACTCACAGATCAAATATACTGTTAAACATGCATTTTCTTTCTGACCGGCAATTTGATATTATTTTGTGTGTCTTTGACTGTTTAAGTGCAAAAAGTAATGAAAAAGAAGTCAATTTATTACTAAGGCCCTGTTTACATGAGAACGCTCGCGGTTGAAAACATAAAAATGTGCCTTTCGTTTACACGGCGACGGCATTTTTGGAGATTAAAAACGCAAAAAAGTGAAACCACCCTCCAGAGTGGAAATCTTAAAAACGCTCCACCGCTGCGTTCCCGTGTAAAAAGGTAAAAACGCAAAAGTCTTCTAGACAGTGAAGGTTGTACGCAGGCGCACGGACTTGGTTTTGTTGTGTGGCAGTGCTTCACATCGCCACTTAGCCGCCTAGAGTGCATACTACATCAAATTTCATACACTTTTGTGTCACCATATGTGCGCGGATTTCCCACCCATAACGCTCATCTAAACGCAAAATAAAAAGTGATAACGCAACGCCACTTTTGCGTTTTCTCTACAGATCATTTCCGTGTAAACATAGCCTAAGAGTCGGCTTTATGTGCGCACCCCTTATGTCTGAGCACGAAACATGAATAAAATTATGTGCAATGCGTGCAATTCCATGCTAAAATTCAAGCCTTGTAACACCAACAATATTCAGAGAAAATAAATCGAGTGAGTGAGGAGGTGGTGTCGTGTGTCTATTCTGCGTAAAATGAGTATTGGAAGCGTTTCAGATATTTCAGTATCAATATGTATCGAAAAATCTTTATTTTCAACAACTCTACAATGCTCTTTATTTTTTCAGGTGCCTTTTTAAAAGACTACAACTGAAAAATGTACGTATTCTATATAAAATTCAAGCTGCCAAAGTGGCTAGTAGAAGTGACTGCGTTACACGCCACTGCTGGTGTTAATGTCCAGCCCTGTGTACACAACACAGTATATGTATTTTACAGCCTTTTTCCTTTTATCGTGACAGGATCACAAGAAAGGGCCACGAGCCGGGACTCAACCTCGAACTGCCCAAAATCGAACTGACAGATCTACATTTGGATGCTCGGTCTGTTTGCATAATCCTTATACCCTATCCAATATAAACATTTAATGAGAAAGCATAAGCTAGCTTTTCTTTTTTTAAATCAAGGTAATATCAAAAAAGACATTTACATTGATGCATTTGGCATTGTTTTTATCCAAAGCGCAGATAGAAGTTATACTTTTCATCAGTTCATTTTATTTTATTTCTATATACTGCAGATTTGTGCGTAATTGTGTGTTGATGTGATTAATATAGGCCTATTTATTTATTCAATTCGAGTCCACTTTTCATGAGCCAATCAGTTTTCAGTGAATAAAATTCACTGCCCTACTTTTTTCACTCTGAAATGTTACATGGGTTGTGAATGGCATTTTATTTTGACTGAAAAGTAACCTCTTAATTAATTATCAAAACTTGAGCTAATAATAAGTCATGGGAAAACTGCTGCTTTTCCGCTGATCTCGACAAAAACGTCTACCGCTCATCCGACGATGGGGACAATATTTCACCATGTTAAACTCTCACAGGAGGCAGCTCTTTCTGCCGGTAGCGAACACATTCACAAATGACCATTTATTACTTCCCACTATTTTTAAAGGGAGAAATGACAGCCTCTCTGTCAAATCTAACAAGGGAATAGCCTTCAGCTGCTTACTCCCCAATAACTCATCACAGCGACCTTTTGAACAGGAATTAGGGCACTTTTTATTTTTGCTCAGGATCACCTTTTAGGCCTTTTGCATTTTAATATCTGAAAGTAGCAAGGGCAGAATCCATCGGCCATAGGCCGACTGTCTTAATGTTGATTCAAAGTAGGACAGTAGAAGTAACAGACAATGAACAACATTCACAAATGACACGAAACAAGATATTGAAAGTTGGGGCCTTGGATAGGCCCCGCCTCCACTCACTCACAACAGCTCTGAGATCCACTCGTTGATGATCACAGGTTGATCTGATTGGTTACAAGGTAGTTTGTGACGTCAGAAACACCAGTGATTTCAAATTAGAGCCATGTGTGGGACTGTTTTCTTCGCCGAATTTCTGACCATTACCGCCCGCTTCCGCTCAGCAATGCCGTTGACATGAATTTACACATGGTTTGTCTTAAAGCATATTAAAAACACCACATAGACATATAAACAACATTAAAAGTTTGATTTTGACCACAGGGGGACTGTAAGAATGTACTGGTAAATTGATTCGGCTCTGAAATGTGGTAATGTGAATGAATCAATTCTTTTCAATGAATCGATTTATTTAATTCGGTTCACAAAATCTTCTAAATGATTCAGTTAAGTCATTGTTCACCCTAATATTTTCTTCTTAAAAATAATGTTTGATGGTCATTTTTGATTTCATCGTTGATGGGATTTTTTTTTCCGCACACCATAATAGTTGCTAAATGCTCAGAGGAATGATGATTGTACCACATGGCAATATAAAAAGAGAATTTTTAACAGAAAATTAGATCTTGTAAATATGACATCAATACATTAATCATGTGTTTAACATTGTGGAAATCTGACCTCAGGGCTGTTGAGTTGCTGCTCGGTGCAAGCAGACATTCGAGACACTAGCTCTTTTCTCCGTCTCTTTCACTCTCATCCCAAATCCATTTTCAGATCTCCACACTCTAATGTTTTGATATTTCTTTATCATTATGTACCAATTCGGCATGCTTTGCCCTCTGGGAAATCAGTTACCACACCCCTTTCTGCTGCCATCACAATGAGAATGATAGTGAATTTCTTTCTGTGGTTTCAGAGTACCAAACCAAATTAAGTAAGTGAATGAAAAAGGGGAATGGAAAAGCCAGCAGGGCTCTCGTTGCAGCGTTGCTGTCCTTGGCGTTACCGTTGAGTGTTGTCTAAATAATTCACTAATAAAACGAAACATAACAGACACCTCCAGACGCCCTGAAAGCGTGCAGTTAATCCCATAAAATAAAATCAAGATTTTTTTTTTTTTTATCTCAAGGCCGAGATGAAATAATAACGCAATATTAAAGTGTGCAAGAGAGCACAGCCCTCGCAACAAATAACACGGCGCGCCTTGGGTATATGATATTACAGTCAGAAAGATGTGCTGCTTATATCAGAGATTCTGTTTCAACTGCAGTTTGGAAACTTTAAAGTCATTATGAAATGCCATTTGCTTCCTATTTGACTTCTGTAATGTGAAGTGCTTTAGAGTGAAATGGGATATTCATTGGGAAGTAAATATAGGGTGGGACTGGGTTTTATCCAATGAAAATTGATCGTGAAAAGTGGGTGTTTTCCCCAAGTCGTGATCCGTAAGTGAAAATCCCATTCATTTTCTCCATAGAAAAATGTATTTGTTAAAATGTAATAATTTGCATTAATAATGCAAATAATTAAAATGTAATAATTTACACATATTGCATGAGCCTAGTGTGACAAAATCACTAACCTAATTTGTGTAAAGTTTGATCCAATCTTTCCTCTTCATCATCCATGAAACAAGTTGACTCTGCACAGGAATTACGCCGGCAACACACAACCAGAAGTTCATCTGCCTAGAAAAATAGTTAAAAAATACAGTTAAACAACTTGAACATTGTATGTTTTTACTGCATAATTAATTTAAGTGCTTTGCCAAAACACATTTCTGCTTTTAAATCGTTTGTGAAACTGGCCCAGTTTGCCTCAATATTAAATGTTACTGTCAAACATGTTATTTTTTTCATTGATCATCATTTTCTGACATCTGCCATGAATACTGTCGATGTTTACATGATAAAATGGGTTTAATTCAACTTTGACCTCACACTTCAGCTCCTGTAGGAAGAAAGAACGAGAGCTGATTGACAGAGCTGTTTGTGATTATGAAGATCTCTTAGTTCACAGAAAAGAGCCGAGCTTTCATCTGTCACCCGAGTCAACATCTGCCGAGGTGTTAACATCACGTAGATGTAAAAACAGCTTCTCCCACACATGTGGTCATATTAACTGACAATGATTCATTTAATCTCGGTTCATCCACACTCAGACACTGCAAACAAGACAGAAAGTAGAAGAGAGACGGCAAAGATTTCTGCAAACCTAAAACCGAGATTTGTCAGCCCACAGATCAAATCTCAAAATGGAAATACAGTAGAAACCAAATCAAATTTATAGGTACTTTTTACACTTGTTGTATAATGAGGATTTTTTTTACACCTAAAATGTTAATGTTTTTGTATCTTTATATTAACATAGTAATTATTAAAACACAGTCTCATTGAGTTACGTTTTTTAATATTTTAAAAAATGCGTAAATTTTACAAATTAACTGACTTACTAAAATATTTCAATAAAATTCATATTTTGAGCCAACATGACCTTATTAAACTGAAACGTACAGTATTGATGTATTAGCAGCATCCACATCATAAGCATTTTACATATGAACATCTCTAGAGAGTCTTCCATTGCTTTTAGCTTTCACTGTAAAAAACGGACTGTTGAAAACAATTGTCACGCAATAGGTTCTCTCAACTATTGTTTTAAAAACAGTCCTAAAATGCTTCAATCAGGAAAAAAACTTATCAAGGCAATTACACATTTCTTGTTCAACAAATTTTCAATTAGACCTTGTACGTAGATATCAACAACTGACAGACAAACATCAAGAGATGACCTCTTAATATCACAATATAACAAATAACTAACAATGACAAAAAAGTAGCAATTCATTGTTGAAAAAGTAGGGATTCTTTTTGAAAAAAGTAGCGATTCATTTTTTAAAAAGTAGCAATTCTTTTTGAAAAAGTAGCAATTCATTTTTAAAAGTGTAGCGATTCTTTTTGAAAAAGTAGCAATTCTTTTTTAAAAGTAGTGATTCATTTTTGAAAAAGTAGCATTTTATTAAAAGTAGCAATTATTTTTTGGAAAAAGTAGCAAATCTTTTATTAAAAGTAGCGATTCTTTTTGAAAAAGTAGTGATTCTTTTTTTAAAAGTAGTGATTCATTTTGAAAAAGTAGCATTTTATTAAAAGTAGTGATTCATTTTTGGAAAAAGTATCAATTCTTTTATTAAAAGTAGCGATTCTTTTTCAAAAAGTAGTGATTCTTTGTTAAAAAAAAAAGTAGCGATTCATTTTTTAAAAAGTAGTGATTCTTTTTTAAAAGAGTAGCGATTCTTTTTGAAAAAAGTAGTGATTCATTTTTGAAAAAAGTAGCGACATTTAAAAAAAAGTGGGTTAAAAAAGTAATTCGATTTTTAACCCAACATTTGGGTTTGTCCATATTTGACCCAAATTTGGGTTGAAACAACCCAGTGTATGGAAAACTTTCCATGAGGACTTGAGGTCGCTGGCACCACAACACAGGACCTCAATGAAACAAAAGAAACACTATCTAAGCTTGTGTCACTGACTAGTTTAAAAAGTGAAATGAATATGTTTTGTCTTTTCGATTAATTTCTCATCCGACATCAACTCCTCGGAGAAAGTGAGGTAGCCTACTTTTCTGCCCTTGACCCCTCTTGAATCCGGAAACCTAATCGAATAGCAAGATTATCATTGCGAGCTTGTTGACCCTTTCATGTTCCCTTGGAGTCAGTGTTGATCCAGAGAACACACAGTCATCAGGAAAATACAAAGTGAGGCAGAGAGAGAATGTTTTGTGTTTATTCAAGCAGGCAAATTCCAATGCACATTTGGCCCATTACAGCGCATCAACATCAGAGAGCAGCACGCTAAAGCGAGCGAGAAGCGTACACTTATCATTATTTTATAACATGTCTAATGACAGATTGACACAGGATTTGCAAATGTGAGCCGACTTCGATTTTGCCAAGTTCAGTTTCCGCCGCTGTCTGTGTGATGCAAGCATACTTACGTGTATAATTTGATTTTGCAGTGGATTTATTAGTACATTTTTATAAAAAGAACCTCCACGCCCCGTCGGTGTGGTGAATCTAAGATGTTCTGATGTTTTGAAGCCATCAGACTATGAATAATAGGAATTATGACATTTAGAAGGCTTAAAATGGTGTAAATGCTTCAAAACAATTTCATAAGGAGTCAGAATGTACGTGATGGTACGGGCAAGCTGTTAGCTTTGATCATCTGCAAAATCATCACGCAAAAACAAACCTGACCGCACCGCTAGTTCCTGGCCCAAATGTCTTCATATCCTCGTGAAAACTCTCTTAACGTGCTGATCGCATAGCAGCAGGGTTGACGCATCTACATACGCTTGAAGATACTCTGTGAATTTAAACTCTCTCCCTTTTCACCCGCTTTCTGTCACGTAGTTTTGATTCAGTATGTAGCAGTCGCGTGCACCCTACAGAGTGAATGTGCAAATGAGGTGCAGGATTCCTTTAATCATTGCTCTTTGCTCAGACTCTAGCAGATCAGGGTTCACAAAAAGAAAGCTTGTAATTAAGGTAGACATGTTAGATATTAGATTAACTGTATTAATATGGAAACACTTGAACTGAATAAACATGAAGCTCCAGATAAATTGCTTGCCAAATCTTTACACACGCATGACAGCAAGGTAAGACTCGCGCTTGCGTGTGAGGATGTTGAGGGAAATGATTTTTAGAACGGCAGCCATAATCATCATCATGATCATACCCATAAATGCGCGTATGATATGGTATCTCTATGTTTTTTTTTGGACAAAAAATGCTGGGTTCTTTCAACCAAATTTTGGGTCAAATATGGACAAACCCAGCCATTGGGTTACATTTTTAAATTACATTTTGAACCCAATGGCTGGGTTTGTCCATATTTGACCCAAAGTTGGGTTAAAACAACCCAGCATGTAAAATGTAATTTAAAAAATGTAACCCAATGGCTGGGTTTGTCCATATTTGACCCAAAGTTGGGTTAAAACAACCCAGCATGTGAAATGTAATTTAAAAAATGTAACCCAATGGCTGGGTTTGTCCATATTTGACCCAAAATTTGGGTTAAAACAACCCAGCATTTTTTAGAGTGATAGGCCCACATCAAATCATACACTCTAAAAAATGCTGGGTTGTTACAACCAAAATTTGGGTCAAATATGGACAAACCCAAATGTTGGGTTAAAAATGTAATACAAAAATTACAGTTGAAAGTTGAATTTGGGTTAAAATTTTAAATTACATTTTTAACCCAATATTTGGGTTTGTCCTTATCTGACCCAAATTTGGGTTGAAACAACCTAGGATTTTTAGAGTGTATGATTTGATGTGGGCCTACTTGGAATAGCCTATCACTGGGTTATGTATCACTGAGTATTTGACTATAATAATTGATGTATTTTTTTAAATGACTTTGCATTCACTGACTTTAAAATATTATTGTCAATGTCACTGTATTTAAACCATTAATGGTTTATGAAAATGCTGGGTTGTTTTAAACCAATTTTGGGTCAAATATGGACAAACCCAGCCATAGGCTTACTTTTTTAAATTACATTTATAACCCAATGGGTTAAAACAACCCAGCATTTTCATAAACCATTAATGGTTTAAATACAGTGACATTGGCAACAATATTTTAAAGTCAGTGAATGCAAAGTCATTTAAAAAATACATCAATTATTATAGTCAAATACTAGTATTAGCATGCCGTTTGGACAATTACAACAATAGCATGGTATTCTTTGATGTACTTTAGAGTTGTAGGCCTATAGCATATCATGGTATATAAAAATGGCAATCATCTAAAATCATGAAAAATAACCAATTATCATAGTATTACCAACTTTAGTATTATTCTGTTTTTGGAAACGTTATTTCATGGTATAAAATTATGGTAATCACATTTTATATACATCAAAGTACCACGAACTTTCCATGTTTTGGACATACAGTATACTACCATAATACTACGGTATGATTAGTGCCATTTAAATACTATGGTACCACTTATGGTACTAAAAAGACACAGCAGAGACTGTTTTTTGAATATACAAGACACAGGAAGCTAAGTTAGTGTTTAAAACAGCAGTTGGCCCGAGCTGACAGTAAAAAAACCTCAGTGGAATCAATAGAACACTCTGTTATCTATCTCTATATCAGCGTTTAAAGAGAAAGATTATATGTCAGGACTGGGTCTGACCAGACGGAGGCAGAGATACATCATTGTGAAGAGTCAGTGGTCTTTTGTGTGTAAATCATACGTCACATGGCCTCCGAGTTCATCCTCAGGCCACGGAATACATTTACAACAGATGCAAACCTCCATATTTTTCCTCTGATTGGCTGTTTCCTGTAGATGTATGTAGATTATTGTACAGCTTAGCATTTGCTTGATATTTATGGTGGTCAGATGTGCCATGTCTTTAACAGTGATTCTTTGTGGTGTTATATGTGCTGTAGATCTCAAGAATTTGCTTCATTTATGGAGGGAAAACAAAACATTAATCGTCATGATGAACAGTCAGTCTGACATCATGAGGGTGAGTTCTTGCATTAAAGGCTATCTGTTTTATAAACACTTTTTACTATACTGGTTGAAACTCTGTTCACATCCTAACAGCAATCAATAACAGAAGTTGTCTGTTCAAATGTGTACTTTGAAATGCATGTCGCGTTGGATAAAAGCGTCTGCCAAATGCATATATGGAAATGTAAGTTGTTTACGTTAATTATTATTGTAACGTTATATGCTTTGAGACATGAGGTAATTTCCCGTCGTCTCTTGTGACGCTTTGCAGAAACTTCTGTGCGTGTTGATATTTTTTAAAGGAGATGCTGTGAAGGGAGGGTGGGATCTCATGCTTTCAAATGCTAGCTTGCTATTGCTAGCCTCTCTGAAATTGCCTACCCTAGCTTTAATGCCAAAGGGACAAAAGTAGCCTAATCCACTAGCCTTAGGTTAACGCAAACCCACTCTAAAAAATGCTGAGTTGTTTCAACCCAAATTTGGGTAAAATATGGACAAACCCAAATGTTAGGTTTAAAATGTAATTTAAAATTTGAATCCAACTTCAACTCAACTTTCAGCTGTAAATATTTTTATTATTACATTTTTAACCCAACATTTGGGTTTGTCCATATTTGACCCATATTTGACCCAAATTTGGGTTGAAACAACCCAGCATTTTTTAGAGTGTAAGTATAGTTGCAATCTAAAAATTCTGGGTTGTTTTAACCCAACTATGGATCAAATATGGACAAACCCAAACGTTGGGTTAAAAAATTTAATTAAAAAATGTAACCCAGAAGTGTGCCATTATAAGACTGTTCTCATGAAATGGCATATGTACACATAATCGCTTTTCAGCGCGTTTATGAACGCCATTGACTTAACGTTACATTACTGTATATATAAATCTATGACCTACTCCAACCCCGTCCCTAAAGCTACCCGTCACTGGGGTTAATACCATTTATATGTCTTCCCCAACCATCCTAGGAAAAAAAATATCGCTCCCCAGATGTAGATCTACATTTTGCTTTGTTTCGCTCGGACATTTAACGGCGTAGACATACACGCATACATGCAGATAGCTGTAAATGCATATAGATAACACGCCACTGAATGTTTACGCAAAAGTCATGATGCCATGTTGCCATTATAGAAACCTAATACACATTTCAGGCTTTGTTTTCTCTTACAGGTCAAATTCAGTCAGGTTATAGCAACAATCTGAAGTGAAAATCCATGAAAACCAGGTTTTTGTTTTTTTTACAGCAATTATAATACATTATTTATCTGTGCACATCTTTTTTTTTAATTCATGTGCTCTAGTAATCTTTAATCAAAATAACCACCATCTCTGATGACGTGTTTACTGGCGAGAGGGCAGGAATACCCATCACTCATGAGATCAACCATGGACAAAATGTCCAGGCCAATATTGTTTTCTTGTGTGAGAAGCCATTTCACATGGATACACGTCACAATAGGAAAGAAAATACATTATGTTTCTGACCTTATTTTAAGCATCTGATTCTCTTTTCAGCAATTTTCCAGATAGATCGTCTTCAGACTGTTGCTCTGCCATGACAGTAGTTATCCTGAAAGAGAAAAAGGTTGACACAAACTTCTGTTATAGCGCCCTCTGTGGCAATGCTGAGAATGCAATGCTTACTTATTCAGAAATAAAGAACACATGAAATCAAAATTGTGTAACTACAGTAGAAGCATTTGTGTTTTTATAGAGTATGTTTCAGGCTTTTAGTTTTTAGTTATCTTGACGCTAAGCTCTGTCAGTACTGTGAGCACAAAAAACACAGAACAGTCAAATACTGGATGGATAGTTGCAGCTATTTTACATGTTATATTTTATGAGTAAAATATGAATAACCAGCACATGACCAGTACACATGAGGTCAGTACAATTTTTTTTAAAACATATAATGCATTTATTTAGCAAGGATGCATTAAAAATGATCAAAAGAGACTGTAAAAACTGAAAAAGAATCCTGAAAAAAATTTATTAAGGTTTCCACAAAAAATAAGCAGCTGTTTTCAACATTAATAATGAGAAACGTTTCTTGAGCAGCAAATCATTACATTAGAATGATTTCTGAAGGATCATGTGACACTGAAAACTGGAGTAATGATGTTGAAAAATCAGCTTTTTTCATCAAAAGAATAAATTAAATTTTAAAATATATTAAAAATAGAAAAGTGTTATTTTAAATTGTAATAATAGCTCAGCAACTAGGGTTAGGAACACATATACTGGATTTTAAATTGCGCAAGACTGCGTAAAATAACAGTACCTTTTGCAAAATGAAGTTGTCTCTAGAATCATTTATCATTTATCACATGCTTTAGAAAAGACAACACATTGCCGCTTGGCACAAACAGACGGAAATGGGATATTAAGATACATGAACAAAGCAGATAAGAGACATCCAACCCACTTAAACCAATGCAAAACAAGGAATTATATATTTTTAAATAAAGCGTTCCTTCTCGGAGATGCCGTGGAGTGATATTACCAGCTTTCTTTACAGGAATAAGATTAACAGCCGGTGATCGTGCAGCGTTATGAACATCAGCTTAAATGTGGTGGGTGAGGAACGAACAAACACGCTCTCTTATTTGCTTCAGTGTGAACTCAGACAGTCATCTAAACCCTAAAAAAAGGCTGTGAAGCCGTAATTGGCAGGCTGCTCCCATTCCCAAGCATCTTCTATTAAATTTTACAGTGCCAGGGAGCACTTTCATTTTGCTTTAATGAAGTTTTTAAAAGTTTGACTGATCTTCAGTGTAAGTCATCCAGAATTCCAGACCATTTGTGCTCGCTTCCCACTTTCTTTTTTCATTATTGCTCTCTGTTATGACTCTCTTTCTCTGCATCTCTGCCATTTTATTATGAAGGATAGAGCCCCCTTTCTTCATGGCCAGGGCCTTCATCATTTTGTTGGCTGTTTTATAGAAGAACGATGTACACCTAAAACGCCTGTTTAAAAAGATCAACGCCTTTCTGGTTGAATTCATTGATAATTAGCTCTGTCATGACAACTCTCGGGAGTGATTGGCATGGTAATGGGTATGACAATGTTTTATGTTTGGTCTTGGCGGAATAGATTTGCTACGCTGTTGCTGCTTTTATAGCTGCTGCTCCATTGCGAGTAGGGGACTTTCTACTGCCAATACATACACAACATGCTGCTGTGAGCAAGTAAGACATGCTGCTGCTGTACAATATAGCATACATTAATTACTAGGGGTGTAACGATACACGTATTCGTATTGAACCGTTCGGTACGAGGCTTTCTGTTCGGTTTTTGGTACGCATTTTTTTTTTAAACTTTTATTTTTTATTGGTTTATATCGATTTTTGTAAAACACACACACAAAAAAAAACAAAAAAACAAAAAAACAAAAACAGAACAGAACAAACCGGTCACTAGGGGTGTAACATACAATTATGTTATACACAAACTTTCATTAACATTATGTTAATATCAAATCAGGGGTTCCCTTTTCTTCCCCATACCCCCTCCCCTTTCCTTCCTTTATAGTAACATCAGGGGAAAAATTATAATTGTCCTTTCAAGTCAATAAAAGGTTCAGGGTCCCATTATACAACATGCAAGCCAGAATATTTTCATTGGGCAAGTATTGTACATCTGAAGAAAAAAAAAAAAAGGGTTCTCAATGTAGTATTACCAATCAAATGTAAATGAGGAAATAATAAATAAAAAAAAAAATAAATAAAAAGAGAGAGGAAATAACACTCACAGTATCTCCTTTTGTTCAATCCCTACTCGTATACCTTAGCCACTTTGACCAGTACTTGTAAAATGTATCCATGTTTAATCGTAACGAGAAGGTCAGTTCTTCCATATCGTATATATGACTTACAATCACTATCCACTCATCTTTTGTTGGTGGACTCTCTTGGAGCCATTTCTTAGTTATTGTTTTTTTACTCGCAACTAATAATACATTAAGTAGGTATTTGTCTTGAGCATTAAGGTTAGTTGGTATATTTCCTAAATATATAGTACTGAAATTGTACTCCGTATCAAATCCCAGTATCAATCTTATTTCGGTCACTATCTCTAACCAAAAGGACTGAATCATTGGACATTTCCAAAATATGTGAAAGTAATCTGCCTGGTACGCATTTTTGAATGCGTACGGTTCGTTCGGTTCATTTCGTTATTCAAATGTAGGCGCGTCGCGCGTACGGCAAGCACGTTCATAATGTAAGAGACGCTGGCGTGACCACACCATTTCCCAACATCAAATGGCAAATGTAATGTAAGCGGAAACGAAACTGAGCTGCTCATTATTGTGTGGTTGTCTGGATGACGGACCGTTTATCAGTTTGGACCAATGCAGCGCGAGCCGATCTTGATCAGCACTTTTACCACACAGCCAAATCCAGTAAAGAAAACGTTTGAATTCGCCACTGAAGTTAACATCACTGCGAGATCTAGTGAGAAACATTCACATTTCTCCGTTATTAACGGATCAAACAGCGCTGACGTGGAAACCAGGAAGAAACATTGTGCCATGAATGAACTATCCAGTGTCCACACATCAGCAACATTCACTATGGATTTACTGTATAACACTACAATCTGTAAGTTTGGCAGGAATAGTAGGCTATAATGCTTTCAAGTAACATCACGTCGGTTGTATTTTGACATTATCAATACAATTGCTGCCCTCAAATGTTAACTTGAGCTAAAAATAAAGCTTTGTTATTAACTACTACAATATTACATTTCATTTTGTCCAAGGAGCTGTTTTGTTTTATATGCTCCTAAGAAAAGTCAAGTACAGCTCCATTATTGCTCAAAGTTAAAAAATATCATACTTTATGATGTTAGTTTTAATAAAAATATAATTAAAAAAAATTAAATCAAAGAAATTTCTCTGCCATTTCTTTCTTTTTGCTGTATTTGAAACGTACCGAACCGTGACACAAGTGTATCGTATCGAACCGAACCGTGAATTTTGTGAACCGTTACACCCCTATTAATTACCCGTAGCAGGTGGAGCTAGGGAAGGTGGAGGGCTTCTGAAAGCGTGCTGTAATGCTAAGGCAAATGCTACCCAAGTATTTGAAGGACTCATTGGCTGTTGAAACGGCAGGTACGGTTTAAATCCTGACTGACAAACAGATATAGAGTAATGTTTGAAAAGTGTGTGAAACCTGCCTAAAGGGGAAACATTTGCAGCTCTTTACAACGAGAAATATCATTGTTATTATGAACTAACAAGGACCAATACTTGTATAGCATTTATTAATTTAGGTTATTTGTAATACACTGCATGTTGCATAAATTAACATGAATATTGTTGGTATTATAACATATATTGTTATAATATTAATATAAATGGTTACTTTCGTTATTAATGTTATTATTATTCAGTTTAATGTAATGTTATGAACAAATATGAATAAACAACAGTCAACAGTATATTCATAAATATACATAAGCCTAGATTAATAAACGAATTCTTCTTTTTTTTTTTTGCTTATTGTTAGTCCATGCATAATCCTAATGCATTAGCAATGTTAATTGTAATTAATGTGAAGTGTTAATGCAGTGTCAAAGTGACTGGAAGTCATTCACTATCAATGAGAGTTGGCAGGTAATATAGGCATCATAGACCATTGGTGATGCAACCAAATTGGGCATTCAACCTTATGCAAATACACATGTAGCGAACTACCAATGAAGCTCATGTGAAGCTCAGTTGGATATGGCAGTCAAGTAGAAACACATAGCCTAAATGCAGGTTGGTCCATATAAAAACACCTTGAAATCTTGACAGCATGTGTCTAAAAAAAAAGGTATTCAAAATAAAGGAACTGAACACACGAATGTGCAAGGATTACAAGTTGTATTGTTTGTGTTATGTTTTGTAAATTAACTCAAGTGTCCAGAGACAATGTCCTTTTTGCAGTCAGGGTGGCAAAAAACCCGAAGCATTTGAAGGCCTTAGGCTTTCACTAATACAAAAAGTCTAATCAGAGCAGCAATCCCTGATGTTAATGAAGGTGTCACACATTGCACAAAGAAAGTTGTGCCTGGCAATCTTCCATTTTTCGGCTGCCTACACCAGTGACATTTCATCTCACATTCAAAGAGCGCCTGGGCCCTTAATGAAATGCATAATTAACATATTCTAATTGTGCTGAGCTCGGTGATGGTTTTGACAGAGCTCACTTTCCATGTCTAATTCAATGCTAATTTAATCTGTTCTTTTCCCGGCGACATGACCTTTCTTGATTGAGTTTCACCGCAAAGAATTTTTTGATGGATTGATTTATCAACCTCTTGGAATGCAACATGGGGGGGGGGTGTCTTCAATGTGGGAAAAAAAAACTGAGAAAGAAGACAAAATCAAGAAACAAAAGGAGGGGAAAAAATGCTAAATTAAAAAGGAATAAAGTCAAGCAACCTGAAAAATGTTTCTGATGATTTACTGTGCTATTAACCCCTGGTGCACAGATTCACTCATCGTAATCCGGAGCTGTAATGGCAAATTTTCCCAGCCATTTAATCTCACTTGCTGAGTGTCAGTAAACCAGT